ATCAATGTAAAACTTACCTATTTCTACAACTGAAGTAAAATTTCTCTCATTCTAACGTCTCTCCTCTCCATTTTCCATCTGCTCAATCTCAACCTCTACCTTGCTCATGGTTTCTCTTTCGTTGGCACCGTTCTCAGATCTCTCTCACTTGGTGGTGGCAAGGTCGGCCTTCCCAATGGCGACCTTGGCCACCATGGCAGCCATGGTGGTCGGAGAGAAGGGTAAAGTGTACTGTGAGCCATGCCTCCTGCTTACTACAAACATTATTGGTGTAAATATTCAAAAACAACTGGTTCCAATTTCCCTCCATTATTGAATCGGTTCATATTTTCTACCGGTGTAATAAATTTACACCTAAAACAAATATAGTTTAAAGTGCAACCATACAACTTTTAATTTTTCAATGATACTTCTAAAAAGACAAACAAAAACTTTCAGATATGGGATCAAAATGGATATTTGATCATTTTTAGAATTTAGAGTAATATTCTCTTCATTCAGAGTTCATAGGAAAGAAAAGTTCACCAATACCAATATACCTCTTAATGTAATTATTGCACTTTCAGATGTCAAAGTTCAGAACAAACAAATAGATCCTAACTAAGTTACCATTCAGTGAACATTCAGATGTCTAAGTTACCAATATACCTCTTAATGAAGAGCTTAACCAAATAAAGCACTCGTAAATTTTGATAAATACGTCAATCACCCCTTCTATGAAACCCGTTGTTGGGCCAAACCAATAGGCCCAATCCTATGTGGGTCTGAGACAAGGTGTCGGCCCGTCTGGGTTTGGTTTTAGAAACTTGATAGCAATTGAATTCAGTGGATTGAGTTGGACAGTGGAACCGATGATCCAAAGATAAACTAATACTATTGGCCCTTCAAAGTCCAAACCTCAACAACTGTAAATGGATGGATCATATCAGATATACCTTGGTCTAAATATAGTTTAGAATGGATTAGATTATTGAATATCAATATATCATTAATAAATTAAATAAAAAATAATCGGTATATTATATATTGTTAATAAGATGAAATAAATTTAGTATAATATTATCAATAAAATGACTTGAAAATAACAGAGACTTGAACCTTTAACTCTTTAATAAAAATATAGCAGTCAAACACACATTTACTACTTCCTTTTCAAAAAGGGTAACTTCCTTAATGTTTCTATGTTTCTGACAATTATGAAAACTTCCCTATTTTATTTTAATAAAAACTTCCCTTATCCTTTTGAAAAAAAAAAACTGCAATTACCTCCCTTTTATCATTGTTCTTGTTGTTGCTAGATATGGGATCGAAGGCAACAACATAATTTCTAGCATATGAGGTTGAAGGGTCTAACTTGTTGAGAAAAACAAGATGGCAGAGGCCCCAAGAGTTATCCCAGAGGCGAAGGCTTTGATAGTCAAGTTAGCAAAGGGCTCTGATGGGTCGAATCAAGCAAGAGATGAGACTTAAAGCTTAAGTCTAGTGTGTGGTTTACCTAAACGTGGGAGCCCCTTTTTATAGTTGGAGTTGCTTGAGAGGAGTAGTATTTGGGAGCAAGTGGCAATGATTGGTAGTGGTTGGTGATGGGTGACCAAGATGCATCTAGCCAACGCCACATGTCAGGGTCCGCAGGATGGCTGGGATGCAACCGACTGACACCACATGTCAATCTGCACATGTCAAGGTCTTGTTGTCCTCCATTTCTGCGAACAAAAGAAGTAAGCAGTTCAGAAGAATGCCAACAAAACTCAAGCAATTTCGGAATTAGCAGACAGCGGGAGCGTCCATAGCAAGGGGGGTAGGATTAAGGTCGGCTATCACCAAGGCCTCCTCCTTCACCAAGGGTTCGACATGAATCGTCCCGCCTAGCCGAAGTCGAGTCATTACAACCTTTTCCTCATTGTTGTTGCGTAGAATAACCCTCTCGATCAATGTATTTGGGTTCCCCCAACCAGACCGAAAGGACCATCCTTGGGGGCAACTAACAAAGAAGAATTTCTTCTTCTAGTTGTGGACAGACAACGGGTTGTCCACCACCCTTCCCCATCGGCCTTAAAAGTAAAACAAGCCTTCCCCACCAAAGTGCTTCCTCAGTGTGAACAGACACTGAAATATGTTCAGTGTCACTGACACCTCTCGAAGATGGGCCATCGCCAATATGGCCACTATCGTCCTAATGGCATTGGGAGCGAGTTGGCTAAGGGTGAGGTTATAATGGTTCAGGATCTCGGAAATGAGGGGTGCTAGGGAAACCGCAACCTAAAGTGAAGGTAATGCTCATGGACACACACCTCCCCTTAAAGAGCAAGCCACGGCCTATCACCCATGCAGGGGGCTCTAACCCTAGTCCCTCGGAATATAGTACCTCTCAGCCAACACACTAAATTGCCCCTTGCTGAGAATGATGTCTAAGTCAGAGCGACAATAATGCCCTAGCATCACGCCTTAGCTCGCTCCTTGGTCGTGGGTTCCTCGGCCTCTTCCACATCCACCACATCAAGAAGCCCAAGAACATTCCTTGGGGTGTCGGCCCTCGGCCACGTGGAACTAGTACTCTCATTGGTAGAACCCACACTCTGTTGATTGTGCTCAGCTCCGTGAGACACGACCCTCTCCCTCAACACTTGGACGCTAAACATCTGGGAGCTCTCGGAGTCACTATTGTCACTCCCATCACTATTAGGAGTGCTGCCAGGAGTACTCCAGTCAAAAAGGTTATAAGCCTCACAACCAGAATCTGAGGCCGATATGTTGAGAACATGAATTCTTTACCTAAAGATGTTTACTAAAGAAGGTTTAAGGGATTGATTGTTGACAGTCAAGCTGTCCTCAATAACTCCCATGCAAAAGATTTCAAGCAAATGGTGGAGGGTCGCTCAACCAGCCTCCCTATTTAAAGAAAAATGCATGGCACAGGTCCAGCTGATCCAACGGCCGCAGACCTACTGACCTTATAGCCCAAACTGACGGACTCCATGTGGCACCAACATCGAGAGATGAAACGGTGCCAAGGAACATACCGCCTCGTGCACGGCTTCATTCAGTTGACCCCGATGCCCATCCTACGTATGGACATATGACGGGTGACATCAATGCTCGTGCGAGGCACGGACAAGGAACATAGACAGCCTACGCCTGCATGGGCCACAGTCACATCCCCTCAGCCTAAGATGGTCCTTTACTAACACAAAGGGTGAATGGAGGAGCAATTGTCACACAGCTGCTGAGAAGAGTTTTGCAGCCAAGGCCGGCGCTTCCATGCAAATGTACTATACTTTCTTTGGCCGAAGCCAAGGCCTCAAAGTAACCCACCAACCAACCTCTACCGCTATAGCCTCAAGAGTGGGGGGCAAGTGATGTAGGGGGTCTGGCCGATGTGCAGATCTTGACACATGGTGTCGAATGAATACTTCATGGCCATCCCGTAGACCCTGATACGTGGCATTGACCGGATGCGTCTTGACCACCTATCACCAACCATTGCCAACCGTCGCCACTTGCTCCCAACTACACCTCCTCTCAGGCAACTTCTACTATAAAATGGGGCTCCCACATTAAGGTAAACACACACTAGAACTTAAGCTTTGAGTCTCCTCTCTTGCTTAGTCCAACCCCTCAGAGCCCTCTGCTACCTTAACCATCAGAACCTTTGCCCCTAGGATAATTCCCGGGGTCTCTGACATCTTCTTTTTCTTAGTAGGTTGGACCCGTCAACCTCAAACGCTAGAAATTACATTGTTGCCCTCAGCCCCATATTTGGCAGCAACAGTCCCAAATTGCAAATGTTAACCTAATATATTAATTTTTTGAAGATATCCATTTGACCCTTATGCCTATCAATTCATATGAATATTTACTAAAATACCCCCAAAAGAACTTTTAACTTTTGATTAAAAATGCTCCTTGGGTCAAATTGAAAAGTGTAATTAAAATTAGGGGTGCTCACGGTTTGATAAAATGAACCATGGACCTATTTTTGAAACTGAACCGGTCCTACCAGTTTTTGGAAAATCTATAACTGAATCGAAACCAAACCAAAGTCGATTGGTTAACTAATTCGGTTAATTGTCAGTTCGGTTCATCAGTTTTTTGGTTTTTCTATATTTATAATACATTATAAAAACATATAAATATATAATAAAAATAGTAATATATATAAAATATTATATTTTAAATAATAAATAATATATAATATATTATAAATTATAAATATATGTATATATATTTATATATAATGCATATTTATTAATTTATAATATATAATATACATAAATATATATAAAATGTATAGAATCTAGTTTTCTATAGTGGTTAACCGGAACTGAACTGATAACTTCGGATTTTTATAAATACTGAACCGAAATCGAACCTAATTAAAATAATTTTACCCTATAAATTTGTCAAGTTGAGTGAAGCCTAGAAGGGCAAATCTGACATTCCGGATTATGTAGAATTTTAGAAAGATGTCCTAACCAGTAGTAAGGATAATTTTGTAAATTCTGAATTTCTGTTATCGGGACAATGAGAAGGGAGGTAATTTGCAGGTTTTTTCAAAACTAGAGGAGAGGATTTTGTTAAAGTGAAACCTCAGGGAATGTTTTTTTTTTTATTTTACCCTTTCAAAAAACATAAATTTACTAATTCATACATACATAAGGCTATGTTTGGTTTGGTAAAAAATGTGAGAGAAACAGAAAGTTGAGAGGAAGTTCTTAACATATGTTGTGAAATTCCTTAATAATTTTTCTCAACTCTGTTTCTCTCTTAATTTCTATAAAACCAAACATAGCCTAAATGTGCATAGGTGTTATAGATGCCCCATATTCTTATGAAAGAGTGATTAGATTCAATTTTCCATTAAGAAGGAAATGGAAACGACACCTCAGTTGCAATGGATTGTTTATAGGTAGTACATATTGAACATTCAACTCTTCAGCTTGACCCTAGCTTGATCAAATCTAACCAGAATTGCCTTCTAATTTGAATGCCTGTGTTGATAATAGAGTCATCATGAATGTATTTTGTATAAAACATCAATTGTGCTTCTGATTGTTAGCTAATTCAGCATAATCTTACAATTCCAATTGTTTGGGAATTTCTTACAAAAACCTTGCCCATTGTATCCATTACTAAAAATGTTACTAGATGGAACCTTTGTATGCATTTCAAAGGCTTTACAAATGATAACAAAGAACCAGGATCTAACCCAGTCCTTGATGCCCATAAATAGAAGGCAAATTTATGATGCCACGTCAGTGTTATTGCCATAGCTGTAAACCCTAGCTTCAGCTTTGCTTGCCTGAAAGGAAAAGGAAAGGATTGATGACATGACAAAGTTGAAGAAGAAAAGGAAGAAATATGGAAATGAAGTATGTGAATAGTGATTAAACAGCTTTGGTAGGGCACAAGAGTTGTAAGGGTATAAACATACATTAAGGCTCTGTTTGGTTTGAAGGAAAAGGTAGAGAAAGGAAGGGAAAGGCAGGGRAACCTATACAAGGTTTGTACATGTTTCCCTTCCTTTCCTTTCCTTTCCTTTCCTTTCCCTACCTTTTCCTTCAAACCAAACATAGCCTAAGGATCTGCTACCAGCCTAATTGCTTTCTGGCATTACTGTACTTTGAAATTTACATATAAATTTGACTTAAAGCATGTCCTTTGATCACTCCCTTTTGGCCATATTGGGACAACTGTTGCTCCCTGATAAGTGGGTTCAAGATATCAAGGCTGTTCTACCTTCAGGGACCTTATGCATTTAGCCTTGGGCTTGGGTTTGAGTCCTGTTGCTTTCAGTTATCCAGCCTTGGCCTTAGGCCCTGAACACTCTTTATGCATTAAGCCAGAAGCCAGACTATTTGCATCATGCAACCATGCATAATAACTCAATGGCCCTTTGTTAAGCAGGTGCAAGCTAGTCTAGTAAGATAACAAGCCTGAATCCTGGACCAGTATAAGGAGGTCAGGCTTCAAAGTCCATTGACAGCCCTGGGCCTGTATAGGAAGTGATTCATGAGTTTCACAGAGAAATTGCTTACCTCTTTGTCCCAATTAGTGCATAGAATTATGATAAGAAGCATCACAACTTGCACAGAAAGAGCACAAATGATTCCCATCCAAAGCCCCTAATCATAACAATTTTAACAGCAATTTAATTAGGATAAAATGTCTCATAAACTGAGCAAATTAAAATTATCTAGTAAACTTGATAACTAATTACTTTGGTTAATTTTCTGCTCTTTCAGTACTTGCTCAATGCTAATGAAAATAAGCATTACCATATAGATTTTCTTTTCCTTCCAAGTGAACATAAATTATTGTCACAAGAAGATTCAGCATGCACAAACCTAGGAAACTGAGGCTATGATTGGTTAAAAGTTACTCCAAAGAATCACTATTTGAAGAATGGCTTTGAGCCTATTGCTTGTTTTTGAAGCTAAACTTTTTACCTTCAAAGAATCAATTCTTAGAATGAATTCTGAGCCCAGGAAAAAAAGGATTAATTCAAACAATTATCATAAATTCAAACTTAAAAGTCATTCTTGGAATCACAAAATTCATAAATTATTTGAAAGCATGCCAAACACAGCCTGGATTACAAAACGCAAAATAAAAAATGACTCACCTTTCCTCCAACATGTAAGACAAAAGCAAAGACTATAGCTGAAGGAATTCCCGCAACATAGTAAGCCCCAAGGTTCACCCATGCACAAATATTTTGCCAACCACACCCTCTAGCAGCCCCTATAGATGCAAGCAGATCAGATGCTTATTTAGAAAACTCATTTTGTAGAAGAACCCAATGAACAAAGTCAATTGGAAGTTGTTCAAACCTGAGAGCACACATTGAATTCCATCCAAGAAGTCAGACAATGCAAGCAATGGCATCATATTTGCCACATAACTGATCACTTCTTCTTCATTGCTGTACAATCTGCCCCAAACACCACGTACAGAGATGGTAGCTGTTGCTATTATAAGACCCTCAGTCAAGGCAATAGCAGACACAACATATATTGCTAGACGCGCGCCACGTGGGCGCCCGGCCCCCAATTCATTTGAAACTCTTGTACTAGAAAGGGTGAAAAAAAAAATCAAAAGATGATAAAATGGTATAAGAACTGAAGAACTTGTTAGAGGTTCAGTGCCAGAGAGTGCAAATTTGAATATGTGCAATGCAATCTAACCTTATAGCACCACCAAGACCAACAGAGATCATATAGACCATCCAACATGTGTTAAGGCTGTAAAACAATTAAATGTGGCTAATGTATACTTAATTCTTGTTTAAATTTAGAGAAAAGTTGAATAGAAATCAGAAGCCTTATATAAAAACATTGGGAGAATTAGAAGAATTTAAGTACTATGTACCTTATAGATAGAACAGACGTCTCTAGCTTTGGATTAGGAAGAAGACCAGATAGTAGAACCACCATCTCAAAGGACCAATATTCAAAGCTGTATCAACTCATAAGATAAAGATATGAAAATCATCAAAATAAAAAATCCCAATAAAATTGAAAGAAAAAAATAAAATCATTAAAGTTTGACCAGTTTGTTTGCAGTACAAATTTCATTTGCACTGGCGCGAATGCAAAAGGCTGAGTCTAAATTCTAGAGAGAGAGAGAGATACCAAATCATAATTGCTGAAGGAATAGCTAGCTTTAGAAAATCGAGAATATCATGCAAGGCTTCTTTTGAAAAGCCTGTCCACGTCTTCATACAAGTAGGAGAGAAGTTAACATAAAGCACTAACAATAGCACATTGTTCCAATAAGAGATGGTGTTTGCCAAGGCTGCACCTCTGTTGCCAAGGCCGATTTTAAGCACTAGAATCCAACAAATAAGGATGTGGAGAGTAGCTGTGATTAAAGAACAGATCATCATAGGAAAGACAATGTTTTGGGTTTGTAAAAATCTGATAATGCATTGAAGGAGACCATAGGCAAAAAGGCTTGGGATCATCCAGAGAATGAACTTTCCTGCTTCGATCGCTATTTCGACATCTTGGCCAAGGGTTATAAGAATGTGGCTTGTGTAGGACCAGATGAAGGCAAGAGGAATGCTTATAACTAAGAGGATCAACATTGCCCTCTGCGTATGAACTCCTAGCATATGATACTGTTTTGCTCCATATGCTTGCCCACATAGTGTCTCCAATGCACTTCCCATTCCTAACTATCATAGATACAGAAACACATACAAATTTATAAGATGAAACAAGTGTGTAGTGTATACATAGATAGAGAGAGAGAGAGAGAGAGAGAGGGCTCTATTGAGGTTTGATGGGGCCTAGACACCTTGTGCTCTCAGCCCATCCCATAAGGCCCCATAGCCCCCAGGCCTCTCTTGAGTTCTGATGGGGCTTAGATACCTTATACCTACCCACATGAGATCGCAACCACACATGGGAACATCTTATGCTCTTACATGTTATTATGCATGGGGAGATGTTCCCAATGCACAGGGGTAGTGTTTTGTGGAAGATCCGAAGTCGCCTTATACTGCCCAAGTGCCCATCCCAGCCCACCAGATGTCCAAGGCTAACCCAAGACTTGAGAAGGCTGGGCCCAAAGGCATTTCCATTTATAGGCCCACTCCAGTCCCCACTTGCATGTGAATTGTGATATGGATAGTGCATATTCTTAGCAATCTAAATTCTGCAACTTGTGGTTGTGGTTCATATTGATAATCAATTTATTATATCAATTACAGGAAGAACACTAATTCCAAGAAGTGCTTTTAGCATGGTTTCAATAAGGATAATCACAACGAGAGAAAGAGCCGACTTACCAACAAATCAAAACCGGTCACTGATGCAAAGGATGTAGCCATGGATGCACCAGAGAGAGCAAGCTCTCCGAGATGACCCACAAACATGATCGAAATCATTTGCAAACAGTACTGTAACAGGCTAACTGCTATCAGAGGCCCTGCTAACCCTACTTGCTTCTTCACTTCTGCAACAACCTCTTCTGTCCAGCCGCTTGCTTGACTCATTTCTCCACTAAACTCAATGCTTATTTCCTCCTGATTGGGAATTAGAGGAGATTGGAGAGCTTGTTTTCCTTTCTCCTCCATTCCTTCTCTTCTTTGTTTTCGATTTGTGTTTTCTTTTCGAATATAATGGACTCAGTGAAGAATATAAATTAAACCTGTCCACATTAGTAGATAGGGACCCCATGTGACCATAAGAAGGTAGGACAAGAAAGCTTCATATATTATTTGGAAGAAGCGGTCCCTAGCGATTCGTGCTTATTTGGACCAAATAAGTGTAAATGTCGCATTATGTTCAAAAAAATAAAAAATAAACTAAAATCAAAAGATGGGTCCTGGGGCTTTGAGACAGACTCAGTATAATTGATTTATTGCTCTTTTAGACCTTGGATGGATTCTAATTGAATAATAACAAAATTAACAATATACTAAGTCTCTCTCAGTTATTGGCTGCAGGACTACTGCCTTCAGAGGCCACATGTTTTTAAGCGTGAAGAAAATGTAGGGCTGTCAATGGGCCACGTCTATGCTATAGGACTGATATCCAAATCACTCCCTTTGGGACCCTTCAATGAAATGGGGATACATGAGTTATGTAAACAAGGGCCCATTTGGGAGGGCTAAACTGGTCCAGCTGAAGCTGCTGCACTTCAGGCCTCCCAAACAAGTTCGGATTATTACCCATAAGTCTATTCACCAGATATTATAATCGTACATTGGGAATATCTCACTTTTCATTTATTGAGAATATCCCATTTATCATTCATGGGAAGACGTTAAGGAATGGTAAAATATGATTCATGTTGCCGACCTGATATAATTGGAAGGAGGATTAGATGATAAAATAAATAACTAAATAAGTTCAGATAATTAGATTATTGAAATTAATTCATTGAACTTCTAATGATAGGCTGAAATATTAAGACAGAGAGAACGAGAAGAAGTAAAAGGAAGGTCTCAATGACCTATTCTATTCATTCAAGGTATTTATAAAAGTAATATACTAATATTAGTAGTTTATAAGAACTGAATCTTTAAGAGCCTAAGATAAACATTAACTATAAGAATTGAGTCTATAAAATGCAAGGTTTTTAAAATTGAGCCAGACAACGAACGAGTCAGGGTCCACTTCTTAGGTTGAATAGTCTAACTGTTTGAATTTAACGGAGAGTCCATTCTGACAAAAAAAATAAAAAATGGTCAAACTGTTGAATGGTTTGAACAGTTCGACTGCCTAGGTCAACGATTTGTTGATCAAATCAATGATTTTTGGCGAAATAAAGGTTTTGGGGTAAAACGGAACCCGTCACCTGACCGGTTCCCAGTTTTTCCGGTCTGACCTTTCGGTCCAGTCCGGTTTTGAAAACCATGATAAAATGGATGCATCATCACATCTCTAAACCCATTATAGCTAGGGGTAAATATCTTAAACTACCCCTACTGTTCACGAAATTGATACTGTACCCTTATTGTATAGATATTGTCTTGCGGTACCCTTTGAGTTTTCTAACAATTAACATTGCTGTTAAGTGCTAACGGAAGAAAACAAAATGTTGAATTTATCTTCCACTATTCCTCAAATTTCATCTCCTATTTCACTGTCCCCCTCTAATCTCTCTCCATTCTCAGACCTCCCCCTCCGCCTTTGGTCTCTCTCTCTTTCTTTCTCCGTTCTCAGACCTCCCCTCCGCCTCTGAAATAATTATGGGGATCCTTGTGGATCGAGCTGCAATGAATAATCCCCAGATGCCGGATCGTCTAGGGACTTTAAAGATCAACATCACGCTACTGTTCAGCATTGATTTGGTGGATCATCGATGATGATGAAACAAGGGTGACAGCCACCGGCGAAGGGCTCCCTCCCTCTTTTTCTCTCTTCCTCCCCTTCGTTCTCCCTCTCTCCCCTTCATTCCCTTTGTTCTCTCTCCCTCTCGACATCCTTCCCTCTCTTTGTCTCTTCCTCCCCTTCGTTCTCTCTTTCTCTCTCTCTCTCCCCCATTCTCTCTCACCCTTGTTTCATCACTGTTGCTACAAGTTGCAGTAGCAGCGGACCCCTCCACACACTCGGATACAAACGACCAAGTTTTCTTCTCATTCTCCTTCTTCCTTTGCTTCTCCTTCCTTCATCTTCATCTCTTGACAATAAACAGAGAACTACCACCGGCATCATCGTCTTCCGAGAATGTTCGTTGCAGAGAGAGAGAGAGAGGCCAGTTCTGGGTTGGAAGGAAAGAGGATCAACTCTAGCACCAACAACCGTGTGGCTGCCGTAGCCTGCAACGACGATACCAAAATCATCGCCATTGCTGCAACTTCCAACAACAACCATAAACAATAAGGGTATTTTAGGAATTTTAAAATAATTACCACTCACGTGATGTCACATGTAAATGGAATGTGGCAGAAAATTAATGACAAGGGAGGTTTTAGACAATTATCTGAAAACTTAAAGGTACCACAAGATAATATCTAAATAATAAAAGTACAATTTGTCAATTTGTACCCTTATAACTATTTATAAGAGACAGACCCAAATGAAATTGTCTTCATGCACACTAGGAGGTAGAAGGTAGTGTTCTCAATTATCACGTCATATATGAAAACAGGACAGAAACCTAACAGAAACCAAATGATGATGACCTTTATTTGCAATTAATTGCATTTGCACCTGTACTGATGCATATGAAAAAAGTGAAATTTCGCTACACTTTTCCCTTCGGTTTTATTTACATGATCTGCATTGCAAACAAATTAGAATTAACAAAACAAAGTGAACTTGAAACAGAAGTGAATCAGAATTTGCGCTCCTATTGCACTGCAAATAAATTAGACCGAATTAGCATAAAGATGGTTACAGCTGTTAGTTGAATTGACAACTATTTCATTTTGGAAACACATGCATGACACCTCTACATTCATTGTAGCTATTTCCAAGGCAACAAAAACAAATGAAGTTGCCTTTATGCCATGTTTGATAGTCTAATAATCAGATTTAAGGTAGAAACTGTTTATATCAAGGCTTTTAAAACCGGACCGGGCAAGAACCATTATGGAATCGGTTCTCAGGTGGAATGGTCCAACTGCCTGGTTCAGATGGATAATTCATTCTGCTAAAAAAATAATAAATAAATAAATAAACAATTAAAACTATTATTCAAGTTGATAATTCAACGGTTCAACCACCTAAGTCAATAATTTATTGATCAAATCAACAGTTTTATTTTGCAAAAATCAATTTCGGGTGAAACAAAACAAGTCAGATGACCATACCCGGGTTTTCCGGCCGACCACCCGGAACCTAATGAAACTTCAAACATTTGAAGGAAAACAGCCACACGGCAGTGAGTGTAAATTACTCTGACCGTTTCAACTACAGATAGAACAAAAAGAGGAAGAAGAAAAAGAAATCTCTAAAATTCACTGATAGAGCATCCTCATTGTGATTTTGTTAAACTATAATTTTAGTGTAAGAACTAAGAAGTGTAGATAAGAAGGAAAGAACAAATAAACCTTAACCAATCACTTTCTTTGTCGTTTTATTGAATTGGATAAAGTCAAGTTTGTCGTTTTATGAGTAATAATTGAGTTTTGAAATCTTGTTCTCTGTCTCAAGCATCACAGAAATTGATCATTAAATAAGATGATCAAATTGAGAGAAATTAAAGACTCTTCACACGACACACGCAAAGAATAGAGAGAGAGGAAGATGTTATTTAGATTTAAAATTTAGGGTCTGTTTGGTTTGTAATTAGAATCAGAATCAGAAATCTATTGCTATAGTTTCTTTAAAATTCAAAGGGAGAAGTCATTCCATTAGGAATGGAAATGATATTCCAATTCCACCCAAATGACCCAACGATAGTTACGAAACAGGAATCGGAATGTCTCCATTCGAATCCGATTTCAAACCCCTATTCCCGTAAACTAAAGGGGCCCTTAGTTTTAAAAACAAAAAAATCGTTGCTCATGGCCACAGGCAATATATATAAATGACACGTGACATATATTCCTGAATCATGACATAATGAATCCATCACATTTATTCATTTAAAATAATCATTTATAATTGTCAAGAAGAAAACCCAGAATTGGGTTCATGTAGTCATCGAGGGTTGTTCTTAATCAGCATCACGTACGGATGTAAACGTATTACATCGAATTCTAATCAGGGTATATTTGAATCTGATTCGATATTGTTTATGTCGGATTCAATCTGAAAGATCCGATCAGATCTGATAGAACTTGATATGAATTCGAATCTTATCGGATTTTTAGATCTGATTTGATCCAACTTATTTTCTTTAAAAATTAATAAATTTTTAAAAAGAAATAAAATATATCAATTTAAATACAGAAAAAAACAAAAAATACAGGTATTTTTTTAATTATTTTCATTATATAAACATGTTTTTTATAAAAAATAAATAATGTAATAAATTTATAAAAACACAATATAAATAATATATTTATAGATAAATAAATAAATAACATATATATATTTTATATATAAATATATAACACATCGGATCAAATCTTCTTGAATCTGATAAAGATGACTCAAATCTGACCCAATCCAAAAATCCAACCAAAGGTGATCCAAATTTGATAAAATAAAATCAGATATCGGATGGGATCATAATGCGATCCATTTACACCCCTAGCACCACCAAAATGGTTCCACTAATGGGTTACTCCAGTCATCGTACAATAGATACAATGAGAAAAACAAGTTCCTTTATATCAACATCGTACTTTCTTTATTGCTATTACGAATTACATTAGGTAGGGTTGTTCATGAAAAATCCAAAAACCAAATGCAATTGACTAAACTAAAAAATGATTAACTATCATATAACTAATTTACTTATTCAGGATACACATCCAATTAGGGGTGCAATGGATCGGATATCCGACCCTATTTCATCGAATTCGGATCTTCGGATCATAGATTATCTTCATCCGATCCGAGAAAATCTAATCCGATATATGTTATATATTTATTTGTAAATATATTATTTATATTGTATTTTTGTAAATTGTTATATTATTTATTTCATGGTTTTAAAAAACGACCTAGAAATAGAATCGTTCTAGTCACCTATTTTCAGGTTGACGGTTCGACTATTCGATTCGAATGAACGGCTCATTCTGACAATAAAATTAAAAAAATAAAAAATGACCAAAAACCATTGAACGGGTCGACAATTCAACCGTCCGGATCAATGGGCCATTGACTGATTCAACGGTTTTAAGTCAGGGATCGGGTTTGGGGTAAAACAGAATCGATTGCCTTGATGGTTCCCAGGCCAAACAGTCCAACCATCCGGATCAACGACGGTTCAAAAACCATGATTATTTTTTTTTTTTATAAAAAGCATGTATATATACAATGAAAATAATTAAAAATACTTATATTTTTGTTTTACTTTATTTAAATTGGTATATTTTATTTTTTAAATAATTTATTAATTTTTAAAGAAAACAAATCAGATCAAAAAATCAGATTTCTCGATCGGATTTGAATTCAGATCCTTACTTATCAATCCGATTGGATCAGATTCAGCATGAACAGTTTCGAATAGGATTTGAATATATGCTGATTCAAATCCGATCCAGTCCGTTAGCATCCCTGCATCCAATATCATCGTGCTCGACTTGACTATTTATATGTACAACCAAAATTCAAAATATCGACGAACAATCCTAATCATAATGAGTTATACGTATCGTATCGGAGCAATCATAATGAACTATATGTATCGTATCTTATCCTAATCAAAATATCGACTCGACTTGACTACTTTATTATTGATATATTTCTGTCTCTCTATAAATGGAGCTACTTCTGTCTCTCTAGAAAGAAATCAAAACACCTCCATTTCTATTCTTCCTCTCCTCTACTCTCCATCAGAGCAATACACATCATATGTCACCACCTTGCCAATGCTAATAATAATCTCCACACTCCATAGCGGTGCAGCACCAGCACCATAGTACATAGCTGGTTGGCCCAGTTTGTTTTCTCTCATTTAATTTCAAAAAGTACACAATACCATTTTTTTTCTCTCTGCTCTTCATGTTCTTTCTCTTTATATTTTTGGAAATCCACAGTTTACTGTACCAAATCGATCATTTTATGGTATTTTTCATATCTTATATGGAGACAAGAGATATGAAATTTACATTATAATAAAAATTGAAAAACCAAAGAACTGAAACAACCAATCGATTAATTGATTGTTTTTTTGCAGTTTTCCAAAAATTTAAAGGACTAATTTAATTTAAACAATAGAAAAACCGAAACCGATTAGGCAATTACAATTAGTATAAGCAATTTATCATAGTTTCTAACTTTCTATAATCTTTTACACCAAATAGGCAACCCATTAGGCAATTACAATTAGAATTCAATTAGGTGTCCTTTTGTACAGGAGCAAAACCGAAACCGACCCAACCTGACTCAAACCGACCAGGTCGGTTTGGCCTATCAGTGGGTCGGTTTCGATTTCCACCTTAGGTAACCCGACCAGGTCGGGTCGGTTTCGGTTTCCACCTTAGGTAACCCGACTAGGTCGGTCGGTTGGAAAAACCCCAATAAACTGACCCAACCCGACCCATGAACACCTCTACCACGAAGAGCCTATAGATTATGTGGGTTTGATCCCACACCTTTATAATTAGAGTGATGCCGAGTGATCATCTCAACTATCGGATCATTATCAAGAGCATACTTACTTGAAAGGTAGGAATTCTCGAGTTTACATCTACGCCCCAGAAAGGGGCACCCCACAATGCCCCACAGTACATCCCAACCTTGTATTGGGAACATCTTTCGATGATGTCTCATCATCCCCGTATTTATCATCAAGAGATGTTCCCAGTAAAAGGTCGGGAAGTGCTGTGGGGCGCAGATTTGAACTCAAAATTCCCTATACAAAAAAGGCTAGATTCGAGTCTAGATTTGTTGACCGCAATACATTGTTGGCCACATTCACACAACCATGCCACATCAAGAACATCTCTTGTAGTTTAAGGCCTTATTTATTTTTTGGGAAATTGTCTAAAACTCACCATGAATTTTCAGCATTTCTCTTAAACTCACCACAACTTTTCAAAATGTCTAAAACTCACCATGTCAGTAAGTTTTTATTTTTCAAAGCTTACCTTCCGTTAGTGCACCGTTAATGCTTCTTAACAGAGGTGTCCACATCAGCATAAATAACAATTTTCATGACCAAATTACTCTTGGATGGCAAGTTAGAGGAAAATGGTCTTTTTCAGTTTTCAACTTTCATGTGTTTTTTGCATTTTTAGTGTTTTTTTTTATAATTTCTGTTTTTTTACATTTTCTCTTTTCTACAATCTATAAATTTTCCTGTATTTTTTGTTATTTATTTGCAATTTTTTGTATTTTTCTATAAATTTTGGGGTTTTTTCTAGAATTTTTATTTTCTGATTTTGTTTTTCAATTTTTATAGTTTCTATAATTTGAAAATATTTTTTATTTTGTTTGCAATTTTTATATATTTTTGAAATTTTTGTGTTTTTATGCGTTTTATATTTTAAATTGTTTTTTTGAACTTTTTCCTTTTTTTCATGTCTAATTATTAAAATATATGTATATATTTTATATTTTTATGAAGGTTAAAATGGTAATATATTAACACCCATTAGTTTGTTTAACGTTAAGTTGGTGACATGGTGAGTTTTAGATACTTTGAAAATTTGTGATGAGTTTAAGAGGAATGCTGAAAGCTCAGGGTGAGTTTTAGACAATTTCCCTTATTTTTTAGGAAGCCATTTACTTGGAGGTGAGTGCACTTATTTAGGTAAAGTGTTTATTGGGAATGTGCACTTTTTCATGTTCTTTTGATTCCCAAGGAAAGTATATAATGACATTTTTACTCATAAAAATTTATTATTGGAATTAGAGTTACTTTTGTCAACTTCACACCCCCACCCCAACATGGGAAAATTACACATCCACTTAAGGCCCCATTCGTTTTTCGGTAAGTTACTTACCTAGGTAAGTTTTTCCTAGGAAACACTTACCTAGGTAAGTGCATTTACCCATATTCTTTTATTTCTCAGGTAAATATGGCAATGGCCATTTTAGACAGAAATTCATTATTGAAAGGGGCATTTTTGTCCCATTCAAGTGTTGGCAATTTCCCCCTATGGGAACCAAAATCCCATTGACCAACTTCCCCCCTCTCCAATCCAAAAAAAGAACGCCCCCTAAGAGTAAGTGATATCCATGGAAAAGAACTTTATTAGAGGGCCTACAACTTATTCAAAAGTGAATAGTCCCAAACATTTGGTGATTTGAGAATAGGAAAGAAAATGGAAACTTGGTTGCATTGGGATAATTTCCATGCAACCATAGAAAAAAAAACTGAATGCAAATTATATGGATTATTTTTGTTTTATTGTTTACCTTGTTTTGTTCATTTACAATACAAATGAAGATGTTATTCGGTTCCATAATTATCCCATGGATGGCATGTGTTCGGTTTGGTGTGGACCATTCTTGTCCGCCGGGAGGGATGATTCACATAGCAAAATATCATGCTTGGGATCGGTCTATGGTATGGGTAACCCATGGATACAGTTTGGTGCAATGCACTAAAATTACATTGTCTCAGCCACATTCATTTATTTTCACTTTTTGAATAATTTATCATTTTTTATTGATAAAAATTATTTTATATTATTACATAAATTTATATTCTATACATTTTATCCTCTAATATTTGATATATATGATAAATGGTTTTTCATATTTGTTGGTAATCATGTATTGATGTTTTATTTTTATTTATAATTATTTTGTATTATAATTTTAAATTATTTTAAACTTAAAATATAAGAAATTTTCATTCATGATGGACTGTGTATAAATTATCTCACAAGTTATATATGAGATATAGGAAATCAATAAATGTGATGTGAAATGCCCTTAGCACAGTTTCAATCAACACATTTTTATCCATTGTTCAAAACAATATAAACAATGATATATAGTATAGATTTATCCCTACTACAAGATATGATATAAATCAATCCACACCTACCAATTTTCATTCATGTTATATAAAAAGCCCAAAATAAAATAAAATCTAAAACAAATAAAATTCAAATCCAAAATAAAATTAAAATCTAATACACCACCAATACATTTATACTAGTTAAAATGAAACTGTATTAAGATTGAAATTTAATACACCGCCAAGGCGCCAATACATTTATACTAGTTCAAATGAAATTGTATTACAAGTTACAATCCATTGGACCCCAAAGATCTAAATCTAGATGAATGAAGCAAAAACCCAATATCCATGGTGGGATCCATTGAGTGGTTGTCCAAACAATTCCACTTTGTTACACGTGGCAAAATATGAACTGCTCATTGTACCCAGATTCAATATATCACCTTCCAGGAACCACACTTAACGCAGACCGTCAATGTATGTGTATTGCCCGTGCCCGAGGCCCAAGATAACGCGTCTGCTCCGCGAGTGCACAACCACCCACGTGTATTGTCCAAAAGCAAAGTGCTTAACCCCAAGCAGGTCGAATCAAAATCCAACCCATGTAGTCAGTGTTGCGCCTGGGGGCGCCCCACAACGTCCCACAACACATCTTCGCCGTCTATTGAAAACATTTCTCAATGATATTATTATTTTTCCTTTTTTTTGTTTTAACTATTTTATCGGTAGGTGGGTCCCTTGGTCTTACGATTTCTGGTAAAAAATTATGGCTGTTTAATAATAAGAAAACAAAAGTAATTTAAAGAATGAAAATCCCGGTTGGACTTCTCCTCTGCCGCTCTTCTCACTATCATTTTTTTCTCTCTTACCTGTAGATCATCTAGAGGCGATGCAACCTCACAGACTCTGATTCGAGTGTGGGGGGAGGGGGGAGAGAGAGAGAGAGAGAGAGCATGGAAGAGGGTTTGTTGGCGAAAGAGAGAGGAGACAGAGGAGAGGTATTGAGATGGGGTGTTTTTGTGGAAGAAGTGAAGCGGGTAGGCTTCATAGCAGGGCCGATGGTGGCGGTGACCGTGTCTCAGTACTTGCTGCAAGTCATATCGGTGATGATGGTTGGTCATCTCGGTGAACTCGCGCTCTCTAGCGCCGCCATCGCCAGCTCCCTCACTGGCGTCACCGGCTTCAGTCTTCTGGTAAGTAGTCTCCTTTTTATCTTACGATAAAGTGTTAGTAGCTTTTCCAATCGCACCAATTCACTCTTGGTGTTCCCAGTTTCCACAGAGGGTTTTGGGTTGGTATCGTGGTGGGACCACGGGATCTCAATGGCCATTAGGTCCCCATCATCGACCAGTAGTGGAAATAGGGTAGCGCGAGTACTTTGGCGGCTGCAATAGCAAAAGCAAAAGCAAAAGCAACTTGTCGCTAGTCTCTGCTTTATTCTTACTTCTGGTCACTGGTTTGATACTTTTGGGAAGCATTTTCCTAATCCGGGCCCGTTGGATTCAGCTCAATCGATCGGAACCATCGAACCAATGACGCCAAACACTGTAAAGTGTAAACTTTAGTGTAGGTTAAAGTCAAGTTTATGGAAACGTGGAAAGCTTGTTTGCTTTCAATTTGTGTGAGAACAGTGGAAAAGGCTGAAAGCTTTAGGAGGAGAACAGGGAATGCTGGTCGCAGGAAGCTGTATTTAGTTATCATGGTAATGGGTCCCTCACACAAGGGAACTTTTCTCATGTTTGATTGGAATCTACAACACACATTATCCCACTGGCTTGTATTGTCATATAACGACCCTTTCTATTGCAATTAAGCCGAATTTGAGGTTGTGGAAAGTCCACTCAATTGATCTGGGCATGGCCGCCCGGGTGCAGGCTGGTCCAGTTTGACTGTTTGAGCACCCAGTGAGGCCTGAACTTGCTGGGTTACTCATGGCTCTCGTCCTACGCTCTGACTGTCTAGTACTAGAGTTTCACCAAACTGGTTCTGAGTCAATAATCTACAACAATGGCGAGTCTGGGCTGAACTTCTTTTGAAGTTTGAGTACTTGGAAAATGGCAACTAACAGAGTGTTGTACTTGATGTGCAGCTTGGAATGGCAAGTGCATTGGAGACTCTATGTGGACAAGCCTATGGTGCACAGCAATATAGAAAGCTCGGAAGTCATACTTATGGAGCCATTCTGTCTCTCAACTTGGTTTGTGTCCCCCTCTCTCTCATATGGGTCTCAATGGGAAAATTACTATCTCTCATCGGTCAAGACCCTGCAATCTCAAGGGAAGCTGGTAAATATACAATCTGGCTCATCCCTGCACTATTCGCTTATGCCACTCTTCAACCTTTGATCAGATATTTTCAGGCTCAGAGTATGCTTCTTCCCATGCTCTTGAGTTCTTTTGTAACTCTACTTCTCCACATTCCTCTCTGTTGGACTTTAGTATTTAGGTCGGGGTTAGGCAACGTTGGGGCTGCATTGGCAATCAGTATATCATATTGGTTGAATGTGATCTTCCTTGTGTTGTACATGAAGTTCTCTTCTTCATGTGGGAAAACCCGGGTGCCACTATCCATGGAAGCATTCCGAGGCATAGGAGAGTTCGTCCGCCTTGCTGTCCCTTCAGCTGTGATGATTTGGTACATTTACTTACTCTCTTTGGGATATTGATTTACTTTGATTCTCAGTTTCTTCTCTTTTCTAATGGGCCGGCCCCTTTCTTTTGATGATTATAGTCTGGAATGGTGGTCATTTGAGCTGCTTGTCTTGCTGTCTGGGCTGTTGCCAAATCCAGAACTTGAAACTTCAGTGCTCTCTGTATGGTATGGTTTTGAAAGAAAGATTGGGATTTGGGTCTTGAGATTTGATTCTAAAGAGCACTTGCTTTATTAATATTTATTGTATAAGACATTTAATTTTTCATTGTCTTTGTGAACAGCCTCACCACCATTTCCTTGCTCTACACCATTCCCTATGGAGTTGGTGCTGCTGCCAGGTTTGTTCTGAAACTTCCCTTCTTATATGCATTATACTTGGTTAATAATCAGATACCCATGGCTGCATATGTATGATTCATGGGTATTCTTGATCTGAATCTACATGTGCATATGTAAGTTTGATGCTTGTATTCTGATATTGATAAAAGACCACATCTTCTATTCTGTAGCACTCGAGTTTCAAACGAATTAGGAGCTGGGAACCCACAAGCAGCTCGTACCGCTGTTTGTGCTGTGATGTTTCTCTCACTAACAGAGACAACTATCTTAAGCACATCCCTCTATGCTGGGCGGTACATTTGGAGTTATGCTTACAGCAATGAGAAGGAAGTAGTAAATTATGTAAAAGGAATGGCCCCTCTGATCTCAATGTCAGTTGTCATGGATAGCCTACAGGGGGTTCTTTCAGGTAAGTTTTTTCAGCTCTGGAATAATATTCAATCAGCACTTGGACAAAGATTTTGGGACTCCCCTCGTGTGTTATCTCAGTGCCCCCTTTACATGTTCTCAGGTGTTGCTAGAGGATGTGGGTGGCAGCATATTGGAGCCTATGTCAACCTTGGAGCTTTCTATCTTGCTGGGGTTCCAATAGCAGCTTTCTTGGGTTTCCGCACACCTTTAAGAGGAAAGGGCCTCTGGATTGGAATACTGACTGGGTCTACTTTACAATCAGCTATGCTATCCCTCATTACAATTTTCACAAATTGGGAAAAGCAGGTCTGTAGTTTATTTTACCTGCAGAGGTTATGTTCATGGCTTAAGCTAAGTTCCCTCTACATAAAACCTCTTTCAGATAATTCAGCTAAAATCTATATTCACTCATTGTGAAAATGAATAATTGTACAATGATACAATGGTTAAAGTAAGTCATAGATATCAATTGATCATGTCCTGCCTATAAGATCAAATGTAAGCTACGAGTGTTTTTTGTTCATGCAATGTTTAATGGAGTATTTGATCTTCTGCATTGACCTTTGCAGGCAATCAAGGCAAAGGAGAGGATATTTGAAGGGAGATTTTCGATAGAGAATGGATTGAATTGAATGAGAACGATGACTGATCAACCATTTTCCAACTTTTGAAATTCTATCTTTCAACACAATTTTGAATGAATAGTAGTACTCTCTCAGCCGTGAACCATTAAGATTCTGATTAGTGGTTGTGACATGGTGTGTAACGTGATGTAAGGATTAATTTTTAATACAATGTTAATATTTTCACAGGTAATCTGTTTTGGTCACACTACATTGAATGACTTGATACAAGTCAAAACATTCTCAGATTTGAATTTGAATCCGATCTGATTAAGGATGAACCATTTCAGTCCACTTACAAATTGATTGAATGCACACCTAACATTGCATTATAGGGGGTGTCAATTGGACTGGATTTGGTCCAATCCAGTCCAATGTGAGTCCATTATAAATGGACCAGGTTCAATCCAATCCATTGAATGTTTTGGACCAATTTGGATCGGTCCAATTCAATGTCAGACCGTCCAATCTGTTCAAATTCATTTTGATTTAGATTGGTTTCAATCCAAACCTGGTCCATTGACACATATATTCTTATCTTATATCAATGGACCAGATATTGCCTTAATCCGAGTTTAAATCAGGCCCCCACAAGACTGTCCCCCACAATGTTCCATAGCACATCCCGGCCATGTATTGAGAACATCTCCCAATGATAATACCAAGAATGATGATGTTATCATCGGGAGATGTTCCCAATACATGGCGGAGATGTGCTGTGGGACTTTGTGGGGGGCTGATTTGGTCTCCCTTAATTCAACCCAATCCAATATAAACTTGTTATAGACAGATCAGATCCAATCTAATCTAATAAATATTTTGGACCAGATTGGTCCAATCCAATATGTCTTGTTGGTCCATCATCCAAAACCGGTTCATTGACACCCTTACATTGCAATATGATCTCATATGACAATTTTTAATGCATCAGAGTGAAGTTGGTTTATAGACTATTTACACCCTCACGGTTAACCTAATAATGGTTATTTGATACCAAAATTAATATGCAAAACAGCAAAAGGCAAACCGATAATTTTCTCTGGGACTTAAAACCACGAAAACTGTGAACAGGTCGGCAGGAACCTCCGAAATTACAGGCGAGTTGGGTCTTGGTTTCAATTCTTTTGGATATGGTTCCATGGTCTTTACTCTCTTTAAGGAATCGGTATATATATTGTATTTAATTCAATGACCTAACCATAGAATTGAATTTATTGGTTTGTTAATTGGACGTATTTTTTTAGTATGTTTTAACTTAAATTAATTTATTACAAAAAAACCATTGACTTGGTCAAGAACCAAATGAGGTCTTTACCGGTAGAATCACTAACCTATTTAACCAGGAAAATGGGCTATGGTCAATACATTAATTTGTTTTTTTTTTCTTGGTATTTTAGCTATTTCTATTTTTATTAACAACAATTCTCATTTTTTCAAATGCATTTTTGTTTATATGAAGATAATATTAATACATGTTCAAAATTTTCCATAAAATTTATAAAAAATTCTATATTTTTGTTTTTTATTATTTAATTTATGACATAATAAAAATACTCATTTAACAAGAGGAAATGCAATTCCAATATATTGTTTGATATTGGTTTTTAATATTGGGGTCAAATCAATTTATTAGATTGATTAGCCGACCACCCAATTCAAGATTGGGGTCATATCATGGAACCTTTTGACATAGTTAGTGGAGTCATATGTTAGACATTAATGCTATATTTTTTTTTCCTAATTTTTATCCCATTTCCATCATTAATGAAAATAATTCTCATATGTCACACTTTTTTTTTTGTATGATGAATATATAATTCTCATTTTGTGTATTTTATTATTTAATTATAACATCATGTGTTAGATCCATTTGATATGGACAATTGAACCACTAATCCACTACTTGGATGAAAAAAATCATTTTTCTTTTTTGGTTGATTTTAAATCTTGTATTCTATTTTCATCATTAATAAAAGAAATTTTTATTTTCACATTTATTTTTGTTTAATATTATGAATATATAACATTAGAATTGTATCAAAGTGCTTTATACAAAGCTTATATTTTTCTTTGAATTTCTATATATTTTTTAATATTTATTTCTTAGTTATGACATCATAGATTGACCCATTTGACCTAGAAGATTAGATCGTTAGCCTACCATCTAGATATGAAATTGGCTTCATTTTCAAACTGGTTTTAAAATTTTCATTTAATTTATATCACTAATAAAATAATTATTATTCATCATACTTAATTTTTTATTTATATGATTAATATATAATATTATAGATGTGCCCAAAATTGTTTCATATTTTTTGTGTTATTCTATTTTAAAATTTTTATTTCTAATTATACATCATGAGTTAACCCATTTGATCTGAAAGGTTGAACTACTAATCTGCCCCCTAAATAGGAAAATTGTTTCATTTCCCATCAATTTTAAGTTCTATGTTCTGTGTTCATCATTAATAAAATTATATCTATTTTATCATACTTATTTTTTAATATGAAAAATATATAATAATAGAAATGTGTCCAAAATTTTCAAAATTTCTTTATTTTCCATATTTTTATATTTTATATTTCTAAATTTTTATTATTTATTTATGACATCATGGAATTATCCATTTGACCCAAATGGTTGAACTATTTACTCACCAAATAGATGGAAAAATATGATTTCATTTCTAGGTTTATTTTAAAAATATAAAATCTCATTATATTAATTAATAACTATTGTGTATTGATTTATTAGTGGAATTTAATGATGAGAAACAAAAGTATAAATGTTGGATTGAATGAAAGAGGATGAGAATGTGATTTATTTAATGACTTAAATGTGAAACTTGATGAGAGGTAATAATTGAATGCACTTAATAGTATTATTTTAGTTGCATTTTCTACTTAAATCTTGTATTCCATTTTCACCATTAATAAAAGTAATTTTTAATTTCATATTTAATATTATGAATATATAACATTAGAACTGTATAAAAAATGCTTTATACAAAGCTTATATTTTTCTTTGAGATTCTATATATTTTTTAATATTTATTACTTAGTTAGAGATCATAGATTGACCCATTTTACTTGGAAGATTAGATCGTTGGCCTACCATCTAGATATGAAAATGGTTTCATTTTCAAGCTGGTTTTAAAATTTTCATTTAATTTATATCATTAATAAAATAATTATTATTCATCATATTTATTTTTTGTTTATATGATTAAGATATAATATTATAGATGAAGGGGTGAGCATTCAGTTTATTCAATTAAAAAATGAACCGAATAAATTGAAAATTTTTAAAACCAAATTAAAAAATAAAAACCAAATCAAAACCGAAAAATAGAAAAACCAAAATTTTCAATTGGCTTTTACTTATTTCGATTAAAACCAAATTTTAATAATGTATATACTATATTATATACATTACAACATATAATATATAATATATATTATCAAAGCACATTTCATTATATTATATATTAATATATAAATAATATTATATACTATATATTATATATTGCATATGATATACAAAAGTTTAGTTTATTCGGTCAATCGAATTTCTAATTCTAAAAACCGGATTAACCAAAATTTGCAGTTTGGTTTTAATCGAATTATGCTCACCCCTATATTAGATGTGCCCAAAATTGTTTTGTATTTTTTGTATTATTCTATTTTAAGAATTTTATTTTTAATTATACATCATGAATTAACCCATTTGACTTGAAAGGTTGAACTACTAACCCACCCTCTAGATAGGAAAATTGCTTCATTTCCCATCGGTTTTAAGTTTTATATTCAGTGTCAATTATTAATAAAATTACGCCTATCCTATCATACTTAATTTTTTTAATATGACAAATATATAATAATGTAATTGTGTCCATTTTTTTCATAATTTTCTTATTTTCTATATTTTTGTATTTTGTGTATTTCTAAATTTTTATTATTTATTTATGACATCATGGAATTATCCATTTGATACAAATGGTTGAACTACTTACCCACCACCTAGATGGAAAAATATGATTTCATTTATAGGTTTATTTTAAAATATCAATTTTCATTGTATTAATAATTATTGTGTATTTGTGTACAGATTTATTAGTAGAATTTAATAGTGAGAAAAAAAGTATTAATGTTGGATTCAATTAGAGAGGATGTGATTTATTTAATGACTTAAATGTGAGACTTAATGAGAGGTAATTGAATATATTTAATAGTATTATTTTAATTACATTTTCTGCCCTTACAATGAAGGTGAACCAAATTCAAGAAAAGGGGTATTTTAGTAAAGAAAAATTGTAAAAGCCAATACCTTATTCACACTTTTATAAGTAATAAAGATATAACTACCGATGGGATTAAAGCGGACGGGCTAGGTGGTGATGTTGGACCCCCACTGAATAATTTTTGCAGCCCTAGTCGGCCAACTATACCTAATTATGGGTCTTTGTGCATTGGCAGTCGCTCCAATGAAAAAACATAAGTTAGGGGGTGTTTAGTACGGTGGCATTGTAATGCCGTTGGGTCTTGCTTGGGTTGATCAAAAATATAAATTTGTGAGAAATATTATTGCCACATCTTACATGATTGTCATTAGAAAAATGTATTTGTAATTTGATATTTTAGATAGAAATAGCAATTTATATTGATCACTTCAAAATGTTTTAAGGTAGAAAAATCTTTCATACAAATTTGTATTGATCAACCCAAAACATTATAGCTCTGCAACACCGTTGTACCAAACACCCCTTTAGGCTGCATTTGGGAAGAGTGCAAACACAACTTCCAAGGCGTGTTTTGCACCTAAAATGATAGGATTTTTACATATAAAGGATGTAAACATTTGAATTCAATTTGATCAATGTTAAAAAGGTATATTTCAATATTAGAATTCATATTTGCATCCATTACAACTAAAAAATCATTTGGCAAGAAAGTTAATTTTGTCAATGCAAAGCTAAACCAACTTTGCACTTTATATGTTTGCATTTGCACTCTTTCCAAATGCAGTCTTAGTGATAGGTGGGCCTTGGGGGAGGAGGGATCCTAAAATCACCCCACCCTCGAAAGCGTTTGGCTTTCCTCTCACAAGTTCCTCCTCACAACACGTTACAACTGCATTTTTCACTTAGGCCTTGTTTGGGAAGAGCTCAAATAAAGTGCAAATGCAAACATGTGGAGTACACTCTAGTCATACAAATGCAAAGTTGGTTTAGTTTTGCAATGTTAAATTTACTTTTTTCAAACGAGTTTTAGTTGTAATGGATGCAGACAAGAATAGGAATGGCAACGGGGTGGGGTGGGGTCAGGTTTTGCCTGCCCCGTACCTGACCCCAAATTCAAATTCCCCACCCGCCCCGGTCATTCTTACTTGTATACTTATTAATTTTTTATTTTTTTGAAGCCTACCTAGAATTATTTTAAATTATGTAACATAATATTATAATATTATAATATAATATCATATAATATATATTAGCATATATTAATAATTATATATATATAAATTATGTTTTATAATATAGTTGGGACAGGGTGGACAAATACTGCCCCTAACCCTAGAGTTTTAGGTTTTCCCCGAACCTTGATCAATGGTCAAAACCCACCCTGATCGGGGTGGGGCAGAGTAGGGCCCCACGGGGATGGGTGAAATTGCCATCTCTAGACTAGAATCGCAAGGCAGAAATATGTCTTTTTTTATCAATTTTTAGTGCAAATGTACATTGATTTTTTTGATGTAAAATTCCCTTTCATTTTGGGTACAAACATGTCTCGGAAAACTGTATTTTTCTGTCATTGTTAATGCACAAAAGTATTTTTGCCAAACACTACAAAATTGAACCAGAGTGCATATACGCACTGAACTAGCATTTGCATTCTTCCCAAATGGAGCCTTATGGAGAATTGGCAGGGTTCTTGTTACTGCAGAATGGTTGCATAAATAAGTGTGAATGCAAATATGTAGAGTGTAAAATGGTTTATATAAATTGCAAAACTGGGTTAGTTTTGCACTGACAAATTTATTTTTTTACCAAACAAACTTTTAGCTGTAATGGATGCAAACATGAATTCCAATAAAGCATATGCTTCTTTTTTTTATCAAAAGAATTTATTTCTTTTTATTGATGTACTTATCTTACTGTCAATGTCAATATGCATTGGTCTGTTATTTATCAATACATAAATGTAATGTTGCCAAATACAAACAAAAATGAACCAGAGTGTAAATTTACCCTGAACCGGAATTTAAACTCCATTAGCATCATTTCCCAACTCAGCTTTAGGGGCATCAGTAAGGAATCTGGATCTAATAGACACAGCAATGTGAGCATTTAATAAATATTCTAACAATTCTATCAAAAGTTATTTTTAATATTTTTCAAGGATATACTAGGGGTATTTTATAAGGGACAAAGTCGAAAATAAAATTCGAAGTACTTACTCAATTTGCTCACCATCTGTGCTATCTGCTCCCTCATCGCTAAGTGATCACACTCTCCTCTAGCTTTCAATTTGTTTAGAAAGCTTTGCCAGTGAAAGAGAAACTTAAAGGTTTTAAGTAAGCATGATTGACTGCCGTCACAAAAGTAAGATGATTGATCAACTGTTGGAAGGTCCCATCCAGCAAAGATTTCACAGCATTATGCTCCCGTGAAGATGATGGTATGGAACTTTAGGCTGTGTTTGGTTCGAAGGAAAAAGTAGGGAACAAACATTGTATAAATTTCCCTACCGTGTTTCTCGGATAAATGTTTTATTGAAAAATGAACATCGACATCATTATTTTTTGCTGGTTGGTTGGGTGTTTCAAATAACACCCCGTAAAGTTATCTTACACCTTAGCTTTCAATGCGCCAAGTCAGCATTTCATTTCAATAAACGTTGGGTTGGAAGAAACCAGAATTTGAAGTTTCCCCCAATATTAATGCACTTAAATCCAATATTTTTCTGTTTTTAAATGTTTATTTGATAAACTTTGAAACCAAACAGTAATTTCATGCATAATAAACACCAACTCCTAAGTAGCACTGATGTGGTAGAGTTTTTCTAATAAATATATTCATTATAGTAGTCTTAGTACATTTGCTGCTTCTACTAGCTATGTTCTTTGGTTTTTTAAACCTGAATAGAAACTTGGGTGGTATCTGGGCATTACGAGAAAAGAATGTTTGCTGTGTTGATGTTATTTTCTCTATGAGAAAAATATATTATAACTGGCTTTGTACATCTGTCCATTCCCCTCCCTCCAAACTGAGCAAGAACCTATGTTTGAAAGACATTGTTAGGTCGATGTTTGAATATATTTGAATCTTTTTTAATAGGATTGTAAATTTTAACTAATTTATTCTAATTTTTAAATAAAATAAAAAATAAAAACAACATGATTTACATTATAAAAGAAATCATAGGGAGTGGGGAGCACTGTGGGGATAGGGAGCTAACCCTTAGGTAGCTCGAACTCAACCCGACCTTATCCTACTAGAGCCCAACCTGATTATATACATGTATATATGCATATATAGACACATTTGCATGCATAAGCATAATCTTTTTATTAAACCCTACAGGCCTACATATATACATGCATACATATACGCATACATGTATGCCAATTTTTAGTGTGGATTGATTGCCCAATTGAGCCCAACCTAAGTGCATAAAATTCTAGTATGGGTTAGGCATAAGTTGGATAGTTCAAGCTTGATATTGGGCTCAAGTCAGGCTTGGCTTTGGGCCCAATTCTTAGAGTTGGGCCTAGACTAGCTAGTCTAGTAAAAAAAACTAGTGAATTATTCCTAGTTTTAAAAAAATCATAAATACAAACTTTCAAAGACCATAATTTTGCACTTGATTGTCCAATTGGGACGATCTTTAAATCTTTTTTTAACTTTTTACAATCTATGGGATGACAAGAGGCCGGAGGTGCTTTGCTCCGCTATTTTTATCAGAAAATGCCTTTGGCCTCAAGTCTTAATTTTTTATATTAAAAACAATAGAATAATATATATATATATATATATATATATATATAAAAGGTCATCATAATTTGACCTTCGGTTAAACCTTGGTTGAACCTCCGATCATGAACCTCCAACTTTTTCCGATCGATGTTCATTTTTTGAATATTGGTATTAGTTACTAATTGGGGTGTCAATGGACTGGTTTTGGATTGGACCCTATCCAAACCAAAATCAATTTGGCCGGATTGGACGGACCAACAAGACATATTGAATTGGACTAGTCCAGACTTAATGGTCCAAAGTATTTATTGGATTGGATTGGACCTAGTCTATCCGTAATGAATTTATATTGGATTGGGTTGGATTGAATCAATATTTGATTAATTGATAGAAGATAAGAATAGGGAAAATTCTAGATTAGTACCCTGTACTTTGGGTCTAGTGCCATTTTAGTCCCCAAACTTTAAAATGTGACAATTTAGTACCCGAACTTTCAAAACGTGTCAATCTAGTACTTGCCATTAACCGGCCTGTTAACTAGCCATTAAGTGCCATTTGAAAAGATACAAATACCCTTCGAGTGTCATCTAATTCTCTTTATCAACCATCCAAACATTGACAAAAAATGAATAGTCCTAAATCCTTGCTTCTTCTGTTCAAGAAAGTTGTGGTCGCCATAATGCCCACTGAGACGTAACTCCAAATTTTTTGAATATAAGAGGCAAGGATTTGAGCCTATTCATTTTTATCAACATGTGGATGGTTGATAAAGAAAATTAAATGACATTCAAAGGGCATTTGTGTCTTTTCAAATGTCACTTAATGGCTGATTAACTGATTGGTTAACGACAGGTACTGGATTAATACATTTTGAAAGTTTGAGTACTGAATTGTCACGTTTTAAAACCCGGGGCTAGGCCCAAAGTACAGGGCACTAATCGGAAAATTTCGCATAAGAATATAGGTGCCAATGGACCAAGTTTTGATTAGAATTAATCTAAATTAAAACAAATTTGAACAGATTGAACGGTCGAGACATTGAATTGGATCTGATCCATAATAGATTCATAATGGAATAATCGGATTGGACCAAATCCGATCCAATTGACAGCCCTAAATACTAACTAGTAACTACTAAATAACAAAAGTTTTTGTAACAAAAAAAGAAAACAGAAAGTTTTTGGGGTTTTACGGGTTAATAAAACCTGGAGTATTAACACGTGCCACGGAAACCTAGCAATAGATTCTCCAAAGAAGTGTTCCGAGTTCCGACTTCTGAGTCCTGAGACCGAGCGGAAAGTAAATTGTATTAAAGCACAATTCCAGACACGAGCTCTGCAACTTTGCCTTTCTGTTGCTAGTAGAATTGAGAGAAATGGGGAAGGCCGTGAAGGAGCACCTCGCTCGAGCTCTGAATTCACACCTTAACTCCATTCATGAGACTTTCCAGGTTAAACCCATTTCAAGATTCGCCTATTCTCGCCTACCCATTTCGCTCATTTTTTTTTTCCGGCCAAACAGCTCAAGTTTTGTGTTACAAAATTTCTTTATTATTTCTCTCTTTTTAAGCTCTATAGATGTTTTGGAGTTGTATTTGATATAATTCTCTCTCAGCACAGGTATTGTATGAGACGCCCGCATCATCTCTGGAAAAAGTCACTTGGGAAGAGGTTGTACAGATGGGCGAGCAACTGTCAAAACAAGCAACAGTTGGTATTTTTCTGTTTTTCTCTTCTGTTATTTCTTTATTCAGATTTTTTTTTTGATTGATAAGCATATCCGTGATTATATTTGGCTTCGGAAGATTAGTTTCTTCAGTTTTGTATTAACATTTAATCCTAAAGTGCTACTCTGTTCAAACATGGGGCATGTACATATATTAGTTGGAGAAACATAGTGCCAAAAGAGAGCTCGCTTTGCATAAAACAGAACTCCTGAGGTTGTCATGAATCCCCTACCACCAAAAAATAACAAATAAAAATAAATGAAAAGGAAAAAGTGGAAAAGGAAAAAAAGAAAAGTAAAGGAAAGAATTATTGGTATGGTCTTCATGCCATTAGGAGCATCCAAGAATTTTGAATGGATATTTGATTCAAGTTGCTGAGGTTTGGAGTTGATGGTACCGGCATTTTAGACCTAACCCTTTCATCAATCTACAAAGGCATAAATGGCACTTAGTTAATGGTTCAACTGTCTAGACAATTATAAAAAAAGGGCTTAACTGTCTGGACCAACCCAACCGAAAATAAAATTGTTAAACAATATAAGAGGAACAAATCTTTGGTAAAATTGTAGAAAGAAAATTAAAACAACTATGAAATTAGTTCTGTATCATTTAAAGTAAAAGTCATATCTAAAATATAATGTCAGTTTTGAATGTTTTTCTAACACAAAAGGATTATAAATATGCCATGAAGTTCTATGTGGAACTATCCTTGACCTCCTTTTCCCTTCAAAATGACTTAGAGGTTAGTAAAGAAGGGAAGAAATAGAATCAACAAGTTACAAGTGCAATTACCACCATTGTTTTTTCTAGATTTAGTGCTGTTTTTTTTTTTTTCCTGGTTTCTTTTTATTCCTTGACTTCCTAAACTAGTAATCCCTAGCCTTGTACTTGTTCTCAACCAAAAATGTCCCTAAAATGGATAATAAGCAATTGTTCTGTAAAAAAACTCTTCCAATTCAATTTCAAGTAATTATTCTTATTGATAAAAGAGATTATCAACTTGTTTTTGGGTATCAAGTTCTTCTGTTCCAGTTTTGGTGCAACAAAAATCATATTTTTTCATGGAACTATGATGACCAAACAAGTTAACGATTTTATTGCACTGGTTAAATAGATAATTTGGGTGACGGTTCAAATTGTTCAACCCCCTTAGGTCCTCACCTATTGTGGGGTTTGAAAACACCAGTTATAGGTGAACTCCTTTTGATGATACACAACCAATAAACCTTGGAACAACTGATGTCTCCAAGGAAGGTCTGAAGGTACAACCTTGGGCTGACAAGCATGAGAAAATGGGTTCGAGTCTGAGAGCAGCCACTGTGCAAAAAAAAAAAAAAGCCAAATGTTAGGACCATATCCCGTCTACTCTTCCCAAGGCCCCAGATAGTTGAGAGTTACATTAGGTAATGGCCCTTTACCTTAGAATCCATGGAACTTTCCACAAGAATCCATGGAATGTTGGACAGCATGTCAGACATGGACACATTGTCCATTTAGGAGAGTCCATGCAACAATGGTTCTGATATCAACTTCTGGTTGCCTATTCATTATGCTTTTTGTTGTGTATGCAGCGGGGATGCTATGGACCGGAGAAGCACCAGATGTGAACCAACTGGAAGAGAACATGGGGTCATATTTTAACATGCTTCAGGGATTCCTTTTGCTTTCCCATGGAAGTACAGTGGGTGCTGGACCTACTCTTCGTTCAAACATCCATGCATCTGCGAAGCAAGTTGTCGATTGCAGTTTAGCATTATTGAAAGAGGCTGTTTCCTCTTATGGTAATCTCTCTCTCTCTCTCTCTCTCTCACACACACACACACACACACACACACACACCCTACAATTACAACTGTGGCAGTTGATTGACCTTGAATTCCTTTTGTGACATTGTCATAAGTTTTGCTTGTTTTAGGAAGTTGCTGCAGAACTGATAGTTTTAGTGTAGCTATTTGGTGGTTGGAACCATAACATCTTAAAATATGTACAGGATAAATAGAAGAAAACAAGAAAATATTAATAGCAAATGTTCATGAACTTGGAGCATGTGGTCATTGTGGTTGATGCATGTTTATATGGTATATCAGGGGTTGGGATGCATTTGAAAGTCGGATCTGTTAAAACAGATAGAATGATTAGTGGTCTGTTCATATGCTACCTCTTAAAATTATATTATTTTATTCTCTATTGTATTTTTTTTACACTAGTCATAGATGAATTGACTAAGCATATTTAGGAAGAGATCTCATGGTGCCTGTTGTGTGCTAATGATATGGTATTAATTGATGAAACTAACAAAGGATTAAATGCAAAGTTAGGTTTTTGGACAAATACCTTAGAAACAAGATGTTTTAAAATAAGTAGGACTAGAACAGAATATATGCAATGTAAGTTCAATGACAGTAGGAGTGCAAATTAGTGTAAACTTTGGATTAGAGACCAAGATTTTTTTTTGAGTAAAAGGTGACTAAGATTTTATTAATAAAAGGTGGTACATGAGATAATGTACACCAAAGCAAAGCAGATAAAGGTTACAAAGGTAGAGCACTATCACTAAAAAAAATCTCTATGAGCGCCAGGTTTAGCTAACCCATCTGCTACAGTGTTCAGTTCCCTGGGAATCCAGTTCAATTTAGCCTGCATTGAGTCCAAGATGTCTCTAGCTTCTGCCAAGATATAATTCATAACAATGGAGAGATTAAGGAGGATATCACCCATAGAATTAGAGCCGGATGGGCAAAATGGAAGGGTGAATCCAGAGTCTTATGTGATAGACAAATACAAATTAGGCTAAAAGGAAAATTCTATAAAACAGTTCTAAAACCAGCAATGTTGCATGGAATAGAGTGTTGGGCAGTCAAGGAATAGCATGTGAAAAAAACGAGTGTGATTGGAATCTGAATGTTTAGATGTTTGAGTAGAAAAACTAGAGAAGATTGGGTTAGAAATGAAGTCACTTGTCCAACCTAGGAGTAGCTTAAGTAGGTGATAAAATGAGAGAAAGTAGACTAAGATGGTTTGGTTACATGCATATAAGACCATCTACAGCACCTATATGAAGTGATCTTTTAAAAGTTGAAGGGGCTAAAAGAGCTAGGGGCAAACAAAAAGGGACATGGGTTGAAGTAGTAACTAGTAAGAAATGATTTAAGTGCTCATAATTTAACAATGCATATGGCACTAAACAGAACAGAATGGCAAAACTGGATTCATGTAGCTGATCCCATATAGTTTGGATAAGGCTTAGATGTTGATGGTAATGATTTTATTCTGTCTCTTTTTTGTCCTGGATTTTTTTTAATTTGATAGATTTTTTTGCAAATTTCTTGAAAATATTTAAGCTTCTGCCACACACACATAAAGTTCATAAGTTTGTTTGCATCCTAGTTAATTACTGATCGATTTCCCACAACTTATTTGATCCCTTCCCTGTAAGGTCAGGCTTCAGGTAAATGCTAAAAATAAATAAACGTTTGTTTCATTTTACTGTTATATACTATGGAAATTCAAAAGGAATAGGAAAGAAATGCAGAAGTGGAATCATCATTCTTCAAACACTGTAGTAAGATGAATATTATGCAGGATCACATGATGCGAATCAGAAACGATCGATCCCACCATTAGCTGGTGCTGTATGGGATGCATGTATTGCCCTCAAAAAGACTCCAACCACAAACTACACAGCAATTGGACGAGCTATAACACAGGTTGCAGTGTCCTTGAAGGATGTACTGCGTGAGATGAAGGAACTCAAGCCGGGTACTACTGATCCAGCAGACAAAATTTCTGATGAGACTGCTTCTGACCCAGCTGGTGATCCCCCAGAAGATGATGATTCAAGTGAGGGTGACCTTGGTAATGACCTGTCGCTGGAAGAGATGAAAATTGCCCAATCAACAATAGATGTTGTGTCCAACACACTTGCAGTCATCAAGGAACTTATCCGCTACATTACAGGTTTACTGAAACAATCAAGTCCCAATGGTGGCAGTCATTCTGTTGATTCATTGGAGAAATTACTGAAAATCTGTCAAGGGATTGGAATTCAGGTTGACGAGCTTGGAGCATGTCTCTATCCTCCACAAGAGATTCCTGCACTGAAGGCAGCAGCTGGGAAAATAACAAACGAAATTAAAGAAATGCAGGCAGAGGTCCGGAATCTGAAGGGCCCTTCAGAAGGCTTCTTCCAGGCATGTGAAGGCTTAGAAAATTCTGTGAGAAAGCTGGAGGCTGAACTGGATTGTTCTTCTGATGCTGCTGATCTGGCCCCACAAATGCAGAACCTTGATTTGAGCGTGTAAAAAACAAGATATAATAGAAATACAAGCACAGAAGGTAAATGTAAACATTCTATTGCAGAATTGTGGTTGTACGTTTACATTTTTGTGATACAATGCATGCACTGATTTGAAGTTGAAGTTCTTGCAAGTCTTAATTGGGTGTGCATCTGATGAAGTCTTGGCAGTTGGCATTAAATGTATCAGTTTAAGTGGCTGAACTGAATGATTTATTTCTTTGTCTTTTTGTGGACAAAATGGTCAATAAAATACTCGGAAGGTTTAGCAAGCAATCCAACATGCCGTTCAGCCACTAAAGAGATCATAACCTACTTGTTCACAAAGGACAAATAAATAACAAGGAAAATGGGCAACATGGTATTTTCCAATTTCCATGGACTCTAATGCAATTTGCAAAACTTGTGCGCAGTTGAGGGAATGCTAAAGGAGTAATATGGGGTTGATACAGAGTTGATTTCTGCCTGATCCCTGATTCTGCAGAATTCAAATTGGGCAAAATCTATGGTGCATGAAATGAACTATACCATGAAACTGAACCAGCGATAAAGGGATACATCATAATTGAATCTTTAATGTTGTTAAAGTTTTTAATGTCAAAAGTACATCTTGTGAAATCTGAATCAATGAAAATTAAATAGATCATATGACATCTCTAATGTGATTGGTTGAAACTTTGATTTAATGTGCAACAAATATTTAAAATGCATATCTAATTGGACTCTTCAAATTGGGATTTTTTTAGGAATTAATTGATTGATCAAAAAAAAATTAATGCTTCCATTTATGCAGTTTCCAGGATTTTCAAGGTGCTTTGTTAGGTTATCTCTAGGCCAGAAAGAATGTGTTTTGAGCTATTTTAATTGGGGCGTGGGAAGCAGGATGGTCCATTTAACAACTTGAGGGCATGCTTGGAACTTTGATTCGTACCACTGTACAAGGACAAGAAACCAAGGAGTATGGAGGAATGCATGAATTAAAGCATCCATTGGCAACTCAAACAGATGAATGGGTGAATCAAGGCAGCTGAGAAAGGAATGACTGTCTCCTTCCTTTGATCAATAAAAAAACTGGGACTGTGGGGGTGGTTACCTATCCATTGTTGGTGGTTGGCCCCCAAATTCCATGGACCCAATAAGACTTACTGTAACAGTTGATGGCGAACAGTTGATCAATTCTAGTCTCTGAGAGGGAATTCATGAAAAAGATGTATACAACTATACATATGGTAGGGAGAGATCAATTCTTAGTTTTGCTAAATGCTAATAAGGTAGGGAGGGATCAGTTCTTTCTTAACTTTGTTCGAAATGCTAGCAAACCTCTCAACAAGTAGCTGATGCCAGCCATGAAACCATGGGTGACTTATAAGGATTTGCTCAAGAAGTTGAGTTACGAGTACAATCCCATGAAATAACAACTACCAGAATATAGCGCCACAAGCCATACCGTTTATACCTGTGAGAAGCAAACCACTGGAATGAAGTATAGTAATCTGAATTAGAAAAAAGAATAATCATAGCTAAGATGTCCATGACCAATCACCACTTGCATTCTAGCTAATAGATACATCAAGGGATGACGGGGCAAGGAACAAAGTAATTTGAATATAGCGAGTTGGTGATGTGATCGAACTTGTTACAAAGTATGAGTGAAACAGAGGGTGGAGATGGGTAATTTCCCACCCTTGTTTTTCCCTTCTCTCTTCGTGACTCAATATACATCCTCTTGGCAGCCATGTGAACAATCCGTGTTTTAGTAATTACGCAAAGGAGCTTTCATATGCTGCCATGACATAATATTAATTAACGCCCACTAAGCTTTACCATCCAAGCACCACCCAAGTAGAGACCCAACAGGGGACCCGCCAACAAAATCTGAGTTAAAGGATCAGTTGATGGCGTGAGCACCGCAGCTGCCACAACAGCACCAACCACAACGTATCTCCAAATTGATAGCATTTGGTCTCCTGAAACTAGACCAAGTTGCCCCAGTAGAAGTTGTATAACTGGAACCTGTGAAAGAAAAAACAGAAGATGATGGAAATGAGGTTGTGGTCTTTAAATACCTATAAACATTAAATAGACTAAAAGAGACCCAACCAAATGAAAATAACAGGGTTAATGCAGCAGAACTTGAGGGTAATCATCATATAATGGTCATTAGACTTTATATTTTTCTAATAGTACTCAATCTCATGAGTTTGATTTGGTTCAACAGGACCCTGAATTGACTGCTCATCCCTAACTTTACGTTGGTCAGGCTAGCATCTTAAGACCTTAAGTTGGGTTTGGTGGAAAATTTTCAATTCAACCAAGGTACTTGCATTGGGCACTTGATAGTCTGTTTGGATGCTGAGAAAATGATGGGAAAGGAAGCATCTTCCTGGAACATTCTTTTTTCTCAATGTTTGTTTTCAGAGAAACGATGGGATGGGAATGGAAAAACAAGGGATATGAGATCCCAAAATGAAGGACGTGGGGTCACACCATTTTGGTGAGACCCCACTGAGAAAGGCATTATTGAGAGTTTTAGCGAGCCTTGTCAGAGAGATATTGGGTTCCCACTGAGAAAGGGGTTGAGGAATCAGACAATTCTATCCAAATTACCATCTTGTGGCTGGCCCCAAGACAAGGCTCAGTGAAAAATTAATCAGCTCAATCTTGAGGTTCATGGCTCACACCTTGTGGTGCCTTGTGTTGAGGACATGGATTCTATATGTTCATCAATCTAAAGTTCTTAGCACAAATACTGAGTTGAATATCAACTTTACTTTAAAATACATTATATATTATTTAATTTGTTTAGAAAGCATTTTATTTGGTATATGTAACGTATTTAGGGTTGTTTAAAACTCTTTTGAGGTTTGCTTTACACTAAAAGATCTTCAAAGTACTCCTAACCTATTACTTTTTTCTTTTTTTTGATAAATGAGAGTAGTTTTATTAATTCAAATAACGAAAATACAATCAGCCTAGGAGGAGGCACGAGATGTTACCTCCCCCAAAGACTCAACCATATACACTAAACATGCCCAAGCCTGAAACACAATTACAAAGTAGCCCAAAACAGATCTCCCCTTGACACCCCTTGCTTGGCCAGAGAATCAGCCATTGCATTTGCTGATCTTCTGACCCACTGAAACCTGACAGTCATATTTCTTGTCATCCATTTAACTTTCTTTAACAGATCCCTGTAGTCCCAACAAGCTGTTTCTGGGCTAATCAGCCAGCCTACTCCTAACCTATTACTTTGCAACATGATTGCTTTTCTTTGATAAGTAATGGTCAAATTTTATTAATGAGAAGAAAGATAGACCTTATCCACTAGAAAGAACCAGTGGCAAGACAAGGCTCAAGGAAAAATTAGTCAGCTCAATCTTGAGGTTCATCACTCACATCATGTGGTGCCAGTTGTTAAAGACATGGATTCTATATGTTCATCAATCTAAAGTTCTTAGCACAAATACTGAGTTGAATATCAACTTTACTTTTCAATACATTATATATTATTTAATTTGTTTAGAAAGCATTTTATTTAGTATATGTAACATATTTAGGGTCGTTTAAAACTCTTTTGAGGTTTGCTTTACACTAAAAGATCTTCAAAGTACTTCTAACCTATTACTTTGCAAAATGATTGTTTTTCTTTGATAAGTAATAATCAAATTTTATTAATGAGAAGAAAGATAGACCTTATCCACTAGAAAGAACCAGTGGCAAGACAAGGCTCAAGGAAAATTAATCAGCTCAATCTTGAGGTTCATGGCTCACACCTTGTGGTGCCAGTTGTTAAGGACATGGATTCTATATGTTCATCAATCTAAAGTTCTTAGCACAAATACTGAGTTGAATATCAACTTTACTTTTCAATACATTATATATTATTTAATTTGTTTAGAAAGCATTTTATTTAGTATATGTAACATATTTAGGGTCGCTTAAAACTCTTTTGAGGTTTGTTTTACACTAAAAAATCATCGAAGTACCTCTAACCTATTACTTTGCAACATGATTGTTTATTCTTTGATAAGTAATAACCAAATTTTATTAATGAGAAGAAAGATAGACCTTATCCACTTGAAAGAACCAGTGGCAAGAACACTACAGAAGAAATAAAAGAAACGACACGGAGCTGAGAAATCAAAAGATAATACTAAAGTCAAGTCAATCTGCTGCTCAACCCCAGAGCCTGGTGCCCTCCATACAAGATGTGGCCTTCCCACGCCATTTAAGGCATTGACAGATAAAGGGGTGTACCTGAATTAGATGTCCATCAAAAGGGGCAAAACCTTAGCTTCTTAATTACAGAACAGCTGTAGAAATTGAAATTTGACTGATGATTTTTGTAAATTGTTGATAGAACATCACTACTTTTCAATATATAACTAGATTTGTTTAAGTGATGGTACTTCATTTATATATGTTTTCCCATATAAAGAAAAATTCTGTACATTTTCACTTTTAATTCTTCTTTTCCCTATGCTTCATGCATCTGGAGGTAATACCTCTCTTTATAACTACACATCTTAAAGTAGTGGGATCTGCACGCTACATGTAAAGTTATTAGAAGCTTAATGGAATAATGGTAGGATATAAATATTGAAAAAAAGAAATCCAAAGACAACAAAATTTCAAGTATGGTAATGGATATTATATAGATAAATATATCTTCATCCATATTCCATGTCCTTTATTTTTCAGAAAATAAATACTCCCATGTCTCTATCGAAGTGTCAAGGCATCAAATCCCCAACTTGGTGCATATTTACAAAAAAAAAAAAAAGATAAATTGGAAACATTGTTAAATAGAAAAAAGGATCCATGAATTGAGCTTCTTGATTTCAAAAGCAAATCACACAAAATAATGGTCTAAAGTACAAAATGACCATAAATAAACGATGTCCTTCTATGGAGAATCTTTACCTGAAAAGACAGTCCTGTACTGAACATGAGTACCAGTACAAACTCAAAGTACTGATCAATGGACCATAAAGATTCAACCACTCCTTCTGCATAGTTAACAAAGAAGTTCAAGGCTGCAGGAGTGAGAACCCAGTAGGAGAAGACAACACCAGCATAGAAAAGTACAGAGGAGCCTAAAACAATTGGCCCCAGAAACCTTCTCTCTGCCCTTGTTAGACCAGGAAGAACAAAAGCTATGATCTCATAGAGAATGACAGGGCTCCCTAAAAGAATTCCACAGTATCCAGATACCTGCAGTGCACAATTAAAAGATTTGGTGTGATATTCAGTGACATATATTTCTTTAAGGCAAGTAGGACTGTAAAGGGGAAAAGAACTTCCAAATTTGAAAACAGTATTGGTATTTGAAAATACCATACAACAATGATTTGCAAGCACCATAGTTTTCTAAGTGGTCATGAGACTTAAATAGCTCATAGAGTTCAATAACCACTTAAATGGTTCTTAGTTAATCCATGCTTGCCTGCAATTAAATTCTTTTATCAGCTTGAGGTTAGTTGTTTTCCGCACATGAAAGGGTCTTTTACATTGGGATGTTGTTGGTTTGACCAAGTTGCTTTTTTTATATTCTTATTTTACAGTAATCAGGTAAAAGTCAACGGCAAGGAGGAAGACTCTCACCCTCTTTTCAGGGCCAAATAGTGGTATGAGGTTCGTTAAGAGTGGAGGTGATGGCCCTCCTTGATATTGGCAAATCAATTGGGTCTCTATCAGATTGAAGTAGAAGGGGGGGGGATTCATAATTGGTAATTGGATGGCTGCAGGAAGATTGTTTAAAGGTCTGGACTTGTAGACAAGCAATGAGAGAATATGGAGGTTGGAAAGAGAAATTGATGTAAAATTTAATTCAATTAGAAGATCAGCTAATGGCCTGGTTGACAGCTTAGCTAAACAGGGGCCAACCAGGGCTGAGTTTTTTTTTGGGGGGGCAGCATTGTAATTGTGGGGTTTAGCACTTCTTTTTTGGGGTGCTTGTTTCTGTTTATCATTATTAATTAGTGCATGAAAGTTACTGTTTCCAATAAAAAGAATTCAAAGGAAAGGATCCTTAATGACACATTCCTTTACCAGATCAAACAAAAAATGATCATTGCAACAGATTACAGGAAATTTTGTACAGAAAACTTTTGGAAAGCAAAAAGAGGCAAATTGTTATCCACTACTGCTATTGGTATAACAAGGGAAAATGGAAGTTTCCAGAATAATAATCCAAATGGACTTTCTTGCTTGAGATGGTCTCTTCCCAGAACCAGCAATTGGTTCTCAGAAGCATCACTACAGCTACCAGTTCCAGTCAAGAAGAATGCATGGGCCTACTGTTCTACTTATTATAGCATTTGGAACAGGTAGAAAGTGAAGTTTGCATGGAATTTAACAGGAAATATAAAAAATGCACAGCAGAATGCAAGAAGCATTTTACTTGGTTCTTCTACCTTTAACGTTGTAAAGAAAAATTCTCCCGGTGCAAGCTGCAGAAAGCGAACACCTTGTGAACTAACAGGAGCTTCAAGAAGCATTATCAATTCCTTTGAAAAAGCAAAACATCCTAAAATAGCAGCTCCAACTGCCAGAACAGATACAAAGATTCTCTCGCGCAGCTCCTCTAGATGATCAAATAGAGTCATCTCTTTATCATCTGGGAGTTCTTCTTTGTTAGGATAAAGGAAATTATAAAGGGCACTATCTTTGTCATCTTGGTTCACATTTTCAATAATTTCTTCATTCAATTTATCTGCCACATCTACAACTGCCAAGAACCCCAATAAGAAATAAGGCATCGGAATCTGGTTAAAATACAGATACAACTTTCCTTACATGAGAAAAAGGTTGCACAGTGCACATCTAAAACTAAAACAAGAAGACAAATATGTAAACAAAACTTACTAGGTATGTTAAATGCATCTGAACTAATTCTTTGATTATGAGTAAGATAATCCTCTTATTTGTAGAATTCCTTATAATTTTCTATGTATTTGAGAGCATTTTCTTGCTTGAGAGTGAGGGTTTTGTTTTTCTTGTTGGTCATACATAACGGTGCTTGTCCATTACCACTTTTAGGACTAAGCCGGGAATCCCATGGATATTCCTTTACTGGAGCACATATTAGGTATAACCATTCTCCTTTTTTTGCACATGGAGTTCCCTCTTTCATAAATATGTTGGGCAAGCAGACAAGAGCTCTTGGGAAATCTGGATCTGCTAGAAAAATTAATGAATATGAACTGGATTGGTTTAACTTCCACAGCACTTTTTTCCTCCCCTCACCCCACCCACTTTTTTTTGGATGAATTTCCTTTCCCCCTTTTGTGATCCTCCATTCCCAAGGTTTAAAGATTTCACTGAAGATCATCATCATCATCATCATCCATGCCTTATCCCAACTATATGAGGTTGGCTACATGAATCCTGTATTGTCAATCTGTTCTATTTAAAGCCATACCCGCTGTCAAATTTTTAGTGCTTAAATCATTTCTTACTACTTCTACCCATGTCCATTTTGGTCTACCCCAAGCTCTTCTAGCCCCTTCAATGTATAACAAATCACTTCTAACTGGTGCAGTTGGTCTTCTATGTACATGCCCAAACCACTTAGTCTACAATCATATCCTTTCTAGTTTTTCCACTCATCCATTTTAGCATTTACATTTCTGCCACATTCATTTCCTGTTAAGATGTTAGCTAGAAGTATCTTTTATCCCTGTTAAATAGAAGTAAATGAGTTTGATAATGAGTATCATTATCATAAAAGAAGTTTATCAAGATATCTGGAGAGAAATATTTCAATGATTCTTCTAACAATTTCTTTCAATGGAGAAGAAGTGTACAAATACAATTAGAAATACACCAGGAGTGATTACTGTGCAACTTTGAGCATTCATATGAGATACAAGTGCCCTTGAAACTTGAAAGGTTGTCCCAGTAAGGACTAGTGTTAATGTGTTATCCAGAAAGAAAAATATGAATATAAGTTGAATCCAGGAGCTCAGTATAGATTGATGAGGTTAGTGAAGGAGAGCTAGAATGTATGAAGATACTACACCTGTCAAAAAACATGGCACGTGAGGCACTTCATGGTGCAAACCTGATAATTGGGATAATTTATTAAAACTAGAAACAAGGTTATAAATGACTCAACTAGCAATCAAATTAATTCTTTCTCCCTAATGGGTGCAAGAAAAAGCTCAAAGGCCTAAAACTGGTGAAGACTGAGGCTGCGGTAAGATTTCCAAGTCTTAAAGGAATTGGACATAACTCAATAGTACAGCATGCTACAACCGTTGTTTTAAAAAGCTTGACAAATGCTCAACACATTCTGCAGCTAGAGACCTATAGGGCTTATACGGGTAACTACTCATACTCGCAATAATACTCGTCGCTTAAAAAGAAACAATACTTGTAATATAAGTCAGAATTGGCAATAATAGTGCAATCATAATTAGTAATGTTTCAAAGAGGAAGCACAGAAAGAACTCATCCCCAAAAATGCTGAATAAGAACGAATTTGGGAAAGGAGAGCAAGATAAAGCAGTAATAATCATATAACAATTACCACAAAGAAAAATGTTAAAAAAGAATGAACCCATCTCAACAAATCCACTGAGATAGAAAACCTTATAAGTAAATGAATAAAACCATCCAAAAAGATACGAATTCAGGAAATTAAATACCTGGTCTTTCTTCAATAGCTGAGCCAACACCACCCAACTGCTTCTGTTGCTCCTCCACATCTTCTACAGCAAAGCAAACAACTCGACCGAACCTTTTCCGGCCGAGCCTCTCTGAAATCCGAAACCCAGCTTTTCCTCTGTTGATTTGCAAAGAAGTGCTTCGTTTCGCGCTCGAACTAAGACGGTTAAAGCAGCGGTTATTAAGCTGCAAATGAGAGATCAAAGGATTCAAAGCAGCTGTGCTTCCCATCTCTAATACCGAGACTCTCCAGCAGTTCAGCCCAACCGTCGAAATGGCATGGAAAGGGATAATTGGACCTTCAATCTGGATTTGAATAGCATACCAAAAAAAGAGAATCACGATTCCATATAAAATCTGAGTTCGTGGCTTAACTGGCGGCTAATATTGGAGACGAAAACCCACGGCGCATTTTAGTCATATATACTGGAAATATTCTATTGAGAGCCTTTTAGTGGACCGACCTATGGTCTTAGTCTTAACGCGTGGCTCCAAACTAATGGTTCGGTCGTAAATTCGTGCCAAATAGGGATATTTCAGTAATCTTGCAACTGAGAAATCGGGAAATACGGTAACATGCCCTGGTTCATCTTTCCCGCCATTTTCCCGCTTATTCATCTTTTGTTACAGTTAAACAGAGGGGAGAAAAAACCAAAAAGAAGGAAAGAAAGACAATGGAAGGAGACAATCCAGCCCAGAGAGCTATAGCTCTTCTTCGGAGGAGACTCTGTAACCCTAATTATATCTTTTCACTGTTATCGGATTCTCCAGATAGCAATTACAGGTCTCATTGCTCTATCTATAACCCTAAGTTTTGTTTTCCTTTAAGATGCATGTTCTTGCTCTGGTGGGTTTTTATTATAAGTCACGAAGTTTTTCCTGTTTCTCCAGTAAGCTGAAGTTCATCATATCAAATTCAGTCACGGAAACCTGTAACAACTCAATCCTCCTCCTCGGCCCCCGTGGTTGCGGAAAAATCGCTGTGTGTGCTGTTCAAATTCACAATAAGATCAGTTGAACATTCATAAGACTAGTTTTTGTTTTATTTCTGACTCTTTTTTATTTTTATATTTCCTTTATTATTTTCCTCTCATTTTTAGGTGTTGGAGCTTGTTCTCAAAGATTTACAGGTGGAACATCCAGATATGATATCGGTGGTATGGTATTATCTGGCATTCTCCTTTTACATCTTCTGCGCAATATCCGTCCTACACTAATTCTGAGTGGCTAGTGGTGAAAGATGATTTGCCTGGTTAAAATTGTGTTTTTTTTTCTCAATATCATTAGACTTTTAATGTTTTTTTTTTTTTTCGTTTTGCAATGCTTAATAAAAACGTCGAAAATCTGGAAGAGAATTAACCATTCTATATGTGTACATCTCAGGTCAGATTGAACGGACTATTGCACAGTGATGACACTTGTGCACTGAAGGTCAGACATGCAACACTTTTTTCTCCATGAAGATTATTTAAGTGATCCTACCATGACCATTTAGAAAATATGAAGCTTTCTGCTTCCTGGTCCACCCAAAAGTACATGGTTTCTTGGTTTCTACAATTTTTTTTTATTAATATTTAAGGTATCCTTGTTATTTCCACTTTAATAAGTTATTCACGTGTGATGTTGTTTTATTGAAGCCCTTGCATGGTCTGTGGCATGTCTATTTTTTCTGGATTAATCTTCTTGGTCTCTACTTTTTGTTCTTTTCTTTTTACGGTGTCGTGCTTGTTTGTATTTCAGGAAATTGCTAGACAGTTATGCTTGGAGCATCAATTATTGTTCTCAAAAATGGTATAGCATGCAAATGTCACTATGACACGTTTCAAATCTAGAAAGAAAAGGATCTTATTGTCTCGACAATATGTGGTTTTGTAGGCTTCCTCTGATGATAATGCTCAGTTTATGATAGCCATGTTGAGGTGAGCAAAGTTTTAGTAAATTTTCTCTTTTATCCATTATTTTCTGTCATGTGGACTGGGACAGCAAAAGGCTGACAAATAATGTCAGGCAATATGATTTAGAGTTGCTTGCCAGATAAGGTTAAATTTAAGGCTGTCAGTGTTAAAATTAATCGGATCAATAAGAACTGGTTTAAGGGTTTCTAGGTTGCCACTTGCCAGTGACTTTGAGTTTAAAGGTTAACAAGGGATGACAAAGACCTGAGCTAGGTTAGGGTAATAAAGTCAGAGAGAACAAGGAAACCCAGTTTAGAATCAGTGTGACACTAAACCAGATAAACTGGTTATACATGCATGTGTATGTATGGTTGAGCTATTTAGAGAGGGAAGGCTGTATAAACAAGGATCTTCCATGTGACAAATTAGTTTGGGGCCCAAAATGGCTCCAAAACATTCCTCTCACTATCTCCTGTCAATGGAGCAAATTTGAGCCCCAAATCCTTGCCACATGCAAGAATAAATACCTTCTTTTAGGCAATTTTTTATTAAATATTAAAACTTCATGTGGCCAACATTACTTGGGGAATACATTAATCAAAGGTGGGCCACAGGCTGATGGATCCAAATTATTAAAAAGAACAAAAATTACAACAGTCATTCAGCTCAAAAACAAGGGTTTTGCAAATCTTCAGACCAGTCTCTCCACTTGTTCCTCAAAGACCACCAACTACTAGATATGCCAAGGCCTGATTCAGGTCACTATGATTTTGTGGACCTGGACCATGAATCATGTATTCATTCCAGGTGTTAAGGTCCTTTTGGGTTTGCAACTGTGCATTTTTCTGCTAATATTCTGGGGTCTGATACTCTGATTCCCATCAGATTGTATATTAGGTTTTGTTTGTTTCCTATAAACTTTTCTTTATTATATATTCTTTCAATTCAGGGTTAGTTATCTTTTCTTGTGCGTTCATTTATTTGGAGTGCCTTTTATTGTCAGAGAATGTGGATTAGCTCATAAGACAATCATCATTGTGCTGGATGAGTTTGATCTCTTCACTCAGGTATGCTGTAAGTTGTCATCTGCTTCCTTTTTCTTTCTTTGCAATTGCTCTACCCTGAAAGTTTGATACCTAGTCACCTACTATGTCAGCTTTTTTTCTTTTTCTTTTTTTCTTTTGCCTGTCAATTGGAATAAAAGTATCCTTATTATGCAATAGGTTTCAATGCTGAACTTGTTGCTACCATGAAATCGGTTCTTTTAGACATTGTCAATTACTGTTTTCCAATTCTTTTCAGGGAAAGCAGCGATTACTCTATAGCTTGTTGGATGCTATGCAATCTGTAACTTCACAAGCTGTGGTTATTGGTGTGAGTTGCCGCTTGGTAAGATTTTATATATTCTGTGAAAACCATATATATGGGGTATCTAATTCTTAACTTCTATTTCAGCATTTGGTATCCCATCTTGCATCATTTTGAAAGACACCGATTATGGGAAAAAGGGATCCACGGTGTCAAATGCATGCTATTGTTCTTATGTTGGTATACAACATAACCTTCAAGGAGTTTGGTGGTTGGTTGTCACATGCTAAAACCTACTCATGATCAATTGCTCGACATTGGAAAGAAATTGACTTGAAGTATGAATTTATACTTGTTTGGGAGTAGTAAGCAATAGAGTGCAAGTATGTTACTCTGCACGTAAATTGGTTCATTGTTTCAAGATAAAAATAACTAGAGAAGCTTCCATGCCCTGAACTATATAGCTTATTTTATCATTTTTGGACAAAACATGCAATGGATGATAGATACAATCATATATAGGTTCTTCATTTGGAATTTAAATTGTTTGAGAAATTGAAGTTTCATGAAATATGCCCTGATTACGCACTATGTGTGGTGCAGGATGCAGATCAACTCTTAGAAAAGAGAGTACGGTCTCGTTTTTCCCATAGGAAGCTCTTGTTTCTTCCTCCATCAAACAGAGATGTGCAGAGGTTATTATTACTCTAAGGGATATCTTGGTATTGTCTAAGAACACGTTATACAAAATCTAATATAATATTTTATGGTGATCTCCTTGTTTACTATTTATGCAGATTGCTAGAGGACATATTATTGTTGCCAACAGACTCAAAATTTCCTAATGACTATGTCACAGAGTTCAATGCAAGGCTTCATGTATCCCTTCTCTTAATATTTGAGTACCAGGCTGACCTGCCTATATTTTCGTGTGGTTGTTTGTATTCGTCTTCTGTACTTTACACTCTTGTACTCTTTAGGTCTTTTTTAGTTTTCTTGATCATTGATTGAGTTCTATTATTGATAAAAAATGCTCAGACATTGTAAAATAAGAGTAAACAGAGGAAGAAGAAGAATTTGTTGTATTATTCATCAATCTCGTATGTATATATACAAGTTACAAATTCTATGTTAGGAAAGAATATATTAGGAAAGAAGACTAATCAAATTCCTACAAATCTGTCCTACAATCAAGGTAAATCATATCTCCCTAGTATTTACTTCCTATTTTAGTTATACAGTCTGTAACATCACATCTCCCTAGT